AGCTTTATTAAGAGTTTCATAAACCTGCTGATTGTGATATTTGGTTGTGGCTGCTACATCTTTTCTGTGCTTGCTTGTAATGTATTTATTTCCATCAAGAGCCACATCCAGAGAGTACTTCGACTTATTGCTATCCGAGCAGATGATTGCTAGAGGTAGGGAAAGAAAATGTACACGTCATTTATTGTAACAAAATAAAAGGTTTCATTTATTTTAAAAGCATGGTCATTTTTCATGTGCTTAATGACTCACAGAGTTAAAACTTAACATTATCCTAATGTAACATGATTCCACTCCCTGTACTTTCTAATGAAATCATTTAGCTATATTAAGTAACCAATGAAAGAGGATCTTTTCACAAGCATAGACATAGGAAAGGTCTGTCATTTGATTGACACATCATTCACAGACACAAAAATGCTAGAAGTCTTCAGTCCTGAAGTCACATTAATTCACCTCTCCCACCCTCCAATAAGTAAGAAATGCCACTAAATGTCCCATCGCTCCCTTAAAATTGTAGTTTCCTCTTCCTACTTAAATTCCACAAGGCAGCTTTTCTAACAGCAGACAGTATCTTTACCTCTTTCATTTATAGAATTTTTTTAAACAATGTTTGTTAATTTTAACTAAAATCTCCACATATAAACCATATGCACACAGACCAGGTAGAACAATCCAAAAGAAACGATTTGTGATGATTACTCCAAAGTTTGAAATAAATGTCAGTTAGTATTTTCAAAATACGTGACTTGTGTTACTTTTCTGTTTGTTTTTTTTTTAAATCACTTTATTGGGGCTCATACAATTCATCACAATACATAGATCAATTGTGTAGAGCACATCTATACATTTGTTGCCCTCATCATTCCCAAAATTCACTTGCCTCTTGGGTTCCCGGAATCAGCTCATTTTCCTTTTTCCCCCCCTCCCCCTCCCTACTTTTCTATGTTTTGAAACTGATTATATCCATGCTTTAAATGTTGTTAGATGTTCACATGTTTTTAATATTAAATATAACACTTAAATTTTGTTGGAAACAAATCACAGAAAAGTGTGAAGTTGCATAGGTGTCTGTGTTACTTAAATTCTAATATTCCTGTGCGGATAGCACCCTGATGTGAGTTCAATCAACATTAATGTGACTTCTACTGCTAAAGCTTTCAATATATCATAATGTAGTATTTGGATGGTTAGGGGGAAAAAAAAGTTCAGTAAAATAGTGATTACCTTGCTTGTTTTAACTTGCACTTCAGAATTTGAACACAAGTTCTATCTTGCTTTGCTCTTTAACAAATCTCCACAAAGGACTTCTCAACAGGAATATGTGTAGATATTCAAGTGTCCAATTACACACACTGACTGCATTCCATACCAGACAAAACTGCCCTCAACTGGAAGATTTGTGGCCAGTGTTGTTGAGGGAAAGAGTAATGCTACCTTTAACTCTACTGTGTATTTCACTGGATTAAATAATTTTCTCTTCATTTTGCTTGTTTTCTTAGTATTTGAAACAAAAGTCAACTCAATTTGGTTTTTTTAAAAATCACAGTATTGGATTAGGATTAAAATAATTTTGACTAAAAACAATATTTTTTACTATCTCTGTATGGTTTGCCAGAGATAAGCACTTAAACTGTACTCCAGTAAAATTTATAATTTAAATTTATTTTTGATGTATTGTAAGTGCCCATTCATTTCAGGGCAAACCAAAGATATACTGTGAGTCTTGGTAGCAAATAAATAAAAGAGACAGTAATAGGATCAAAAAGCAAAATTGCAGGGAATTTTCAACAAATGAAAACAAAAGGTGGTAGCATCAGTCAATTGAATTGTCCCATAACAAATGTTAACAAAATAGAAACAGCCCTATTTCTGATGCGACAAGATTAAAAATTTTTCTTGACCTTTATAACATGTTACTTTGTTAATGTACTTTATGAATTAGGTTTTCAATGTTTAAATTAGAATTAGAATGTTAATATGACAGGGGCCAGTTATTTAAACTTAATATTAGTAGCAATATTTTTATACTTGTTTATATAAAATTGTACATTTAAAAAGTATTTACTCATATTTTTTATGGTAAGATCTAGCTACTTTTAAGTTATTTGTCAAGTCTTTTTTTTCAGTTGTATATATATGAATAGTTTACACTAGAAAGAAAATTAATTTAGAAAAAAGAAAATTAGCTTCAATGACTTGACAAAGGATTTCCAATAAAAATTAAGAACTGAAAATGATCAAACATGGTCATGGATCCATATTTCGTTAAACCTCAATTAAAACAAATTTTTGATTATAGGAGGCACTAGTATTGTCCAATTAAAAATAATTGTTCAACAAATTTGTCATTTGAGAAAAGCAACCAAAAATGATATCAGCTTAATTATTTCTAAGCAATTTATTTTTTATGTACAAATTATACATTTAAATTGTACAGAACTGTTAGACATGAATTTTCAGACCACTCTTTATAGTATGCATTTTGATAAGATGTTCAAATTAACATTTCTTTTCCCCTTCTGTATCTTTGGTCTTAGATTCTTTATGAATTTTAACTGAGATAATTAGAAAGATTAAAAATCAACAACATACCCACACTTCTTTGAAACGGGATCATCATGCTACAGAGAGACTCAGGACCAAGTACATTGAACTCAAGGAGTGAACTTTAATCAAAGTGGGAATGGTAATGATGTACCATTATCCTCACAAGTAAGGAATGTACAAATTTATTTTACCTCATTAAATCTAAAAAAGTATTTGTTCATAGCCAGTATGAGGGATTTCAGTTTATCTCAAAGATCATCTTGAAGGAATAGATTTATTTATATATATACATACATACATATATGTATATATATACATACACACACATATATAAATATGTCACAAAAATCTATTTCACTAAGGAAACTTTAATTTCTAATTTTTCTTAGAACAAATTTATAATTTTGAATTGGAATGGGAGTCTGGATGAAAATTGATCAGAAAGATGAAGTTCTGAATATGAAAATAATAACATCAGCTGGGTCTTTAGGAAATGCTGAACGCTGGAGCCCTGACTCCAGCATGTGCTTTGTTTTCTGATTACCTTAGTGGGAGAGTAGGTCCTTATTCTTGTATCCAGTGGGATTTCATGCTTGGATTACTGTTCCATTTTACTCCACCAGTTAGTACATTCTCCCACTACTTTACTTCCACTCTTGGCAAGGAAACCTGCAGAAGAAATAAGCTGCAACCAAGAAACTTTGAAATACTCAACTCTCCCCAGTCTCCCCACTCCCCTCACCCCTACAAACCATTGCCTGCCTTCTTTGTTTTCTAGGGCTGGTCTGTAATTATCTATGTACACATAAATTAACAAAGTCTTTTCCTTAAAGGTCACATTCCCCCTCCCCTAGAATGATAACAGTAAATGAGCATGTTAAATTTCAACCACCGTGAACCAGTATAATAAAGAATTGAAGTGCAATGAAAGGAATACTTATCTGCTACTTTAATAATTATGTATAAAATTTACCAAATAAACTTCCCATCCCTGATTCAATAGTTGAAAATAAATTTTAAAAATTAATCACTCACAATCAGAATACAGTTTCTAAAAAAGAAATATTCTTAAAAAAATTCTAAGTCATTGGATTTGGGAAAACATTTGGAAATATTTCAGGTTTGGGGTTTTGTCTTGTCAAAATTAATTCTGGACTTTTCTTTACAACTGAAATGTTCTCTAATTTGAAAAAAAAGTTAAACATTTTCTCCTACTCTCATTTAAAATATGCAAAAGTTATAAAACATTTTAAGCCCCAACTCAATATGATTTTACAACCAATTATGCCCTTACACTTTTAAATTTCCTGTGGGTTAAATGGTTATCTTAATCATTTATATTATGAATTCAGTTTTATAATTTGTTCAACTCAAAACAAATCTGTTACTGTTTCAGAGAATACTTTTACTTGAAAATTTCAAAAATATTTGCCTAGCGAGCACTTTAGTAGGATGTAGTTGAATTAAACAAATGCATATCTATAATTACTTCTAGTTTAAAATTTTTCTTTATTAGTCAATTCAATATTTCAGCTTGCTTAAAAGCTTCCTCAACTGTTGTAGGCATTATGGTACATACCAATTTATAGGACTAGACAGCTGGTTTTTGGATAAAGAATAACAGAACTCATGAAAGAATGAATAGTTTTTCTAAAGGAGTTAAAAATATAGGGACATATTTGAACTTATTGGTTTAAACTAATCCTCTGAAAATTGCGAATAAATATTTTCGGGGGGATTACCGTTTAACCGGTTTTTAACCAAATCAAGTGTCAGGCTATTAACCTATGAACAAATAAGTTATCAGTGAACAATTTATTAAGTTATATTCCTAGTTGGAACAGTTCCTTTTCTCCAGATAATTAAAACACAAAAACGGGAAAGTCTGTTATTTGGAAATTAGGTAACACTCAATAAATTTACACTTCCCTCTTTTATTTTGATCACGGTCAAAAGTTTTTGACCTTTGTTTCTGAGACAGCCAATGGGAGTTCATATATGTAATTATAAACCCACCAAAGAGACCAGAACCTAGAAATACACCACCCAGGCTGTTCACCTTTGCAGTGAATCAAAATTAAGTATTATTTCGTTTGTTTCGTGCTTTTCCAAGCCAGATTTCCATTTCTTTTCTCACCATCTTCACAAACGTCAGTAAAATTAGAACATTTCAACCACACATAATCATGACTCCTTCCAGGTCCGTCTCGGCTTCACGGGTCTAACAGCAGCTTTAACGAAAACGTGGTCGCGGCAACGTTGATTTTGCCCGGAATTTGGCGTTCGCCTTCCCCCCACCCCAGAGATTGCTTGGTTTTGCCTAAAACGACCCTGGGGAGCACAAAAGGGGCCGGGGAGAGAGGGGACGGGACGCGCGGACTTCTTTAGAGGCCAAGGAAATTCTGGCGGTGCGTTTTTGCATTAAGAAAAAAATAGGTATAAATGCTAAGATGTTGGCAACAGGCGAGGGAGTGAAGACGAGCGTCCAGCGGCGGAGCGTGGCGCAAACCCGCGACCTCCGGGCGCCCGGCGCTGGGGGCAGGGTGGCGGGCACCACGCGGTCGGGCGGGGGCGCGGCGCCCATCCCCCGCACGCACCTCCTTTACTATTGCCACCTTTGGGAGTGGAACTGGGAGCAAGCTATCGTGAGGGCAGGGGGGGAAAGGAGGGCGAGAATCCCACCCTTCAACAACAAAACCGTCGAGAGGGAGGAAAGGGTTATTTTCGCGCCATAAAAGATGGAAATACACGAGCTGCTCGGCGGCCAATGGCTGGAAACCAGCAAACGAATCCGGCGGAGGCAGTCGACGGCGATAGGCTCCCTGCCTCCACCAATCGGCTGAGCGGGAGAAGCCCCGCCCCCTCTCCAGTCTGGGGCGGGGCTTCTCTCCTCGCCTGTGGCTCCGCTCCGGCTGGGCGAGCCGGCCTCGTGGAGGGAGGGCGGGGGCCCAGCCCCGGGCCGCGTTTGCGCGCCCTGGGCGGGCGGCTGGCTGCCGGGTCAGCTTCGGGAGAGGCGCCGGGTGTCGTGATGTCTTGCCGCGAGGGTACCAGGCATCCCTCGCACGCGCGAAGCGGAGGCTGGAGGTGCGGGACGGTGGTCACTCCCACGTTGCCTGCTCCGTCGGGCCGCGGGGAAGGAAGACCTCAGGTGGGGTCTTGCCGGGGGATGGGAAAGGGGTGGGGGCGACGACCCAGGCTTCCCCCGGTTCTCCATTCCTACGGGCCACGCGGATCTGCCCGGGGGCAGGCAGGTGGGTGGAGGGCACTGGACCTCAGGCGGAGCCCGAACCCACTGTCCGGAGGCGGAGCCCCGAGGAAGGCGGCCCAGTGGTCGAGGCCCTGTGGGGTGAGCAGAGGGCCGACGGAGCCCCTTCCCCAGCGCGCTGTGCAGACCCGGCCCTCCTCCTCAGGGACGCGCCAAAGGGAAGGAAGCAACCCCATCTTCCCTGTCGTGGGGCAGCGTTTTGTACTGCAAACGAAAATGAACGTAGGTTCGGGAGCGAGCCAGGTGACCCTGCCTCACGCCTCTGGAGAGCTGTTCGGCGGGGCCAAGAGCGTGTATAAAAGACCTCTGAGGCCCACCCTGTGCGGCGTGCATCGTGCCCCCACCGCACCGAGGGCTTTGGCGCCTTGCTGGTCTCGGGCGACCAGGAGGAAGGAGGGTAGGACTGGAATGTCTGCTCCTTCCTCTTCCTGCTCAGCTCAGACAACCTGTGGGCGCAGCCGTGGAAGCCGACTTTCCCGGGCTCTTTTGCTCTGGCTGTCACGCTGACCCCTAGAACACACACTGCGGCTGGGTCAGCAGCCGGAGGTTGCAGCTGTGCAGAGTAAACAGGCTGCACTTGGGAAAACTCAGCCTCCGAGGTGCAGCGAAAGCTGGGAGTCCTTTTAAAAATGCGGCCAATTAACATTATCAGCCAACAGCAAACTGCTTCAGGAGGGATGTATCGGAGCAACCCCATCCACAGTTTATGTGGGAAGCAAAACGTGGACGACCTTGTGTTCTTGAAAATCTACCAAATATTTTTGTACTTAAACAATGTCCATATTAAACGAATGGCATTTTGCCCTGCCATTGAGCTTCTATGTACCTATCCCCCCAAATGCTAGGACTATTCAAAGTGGACTGGCCTTTTTTTTTTTTTGGCATCAGAGCTTACATAAACGTGTATGTTTTTAAGGTCCTAGATGGAATATCCAGTTTGTTATAATAATACACAGATTAGGTTCACAAGAATCCCAAGAACATATTTCATCAACACATTTAAGTTCCAGCTGTTAGATTGGTTTGAGAGTGACAGACAAGCATAGGGCTAATATTTATGGAAAATAAACACTCGAGCCCACACTTTAGGGGAAGATATTTTCTTTGGGCTTGGTTTTAGTAAGAAAATACAATCAATAATCTATAAAACACTAATTGATTTGGGAAGCTGAACATGAAAAGTTGTTCTTATGAGAAACTGCTAGAGATAAGTGATGAACAGACTCGTTTGTGAAACTTAAAATTTAGAACAGCAATTAATAAATGAAAAGTACATTTCTCCACACAGCTTTTATGTGCAACAGGTACAGGAAAAGGAAATATGTAGATTTCATGGTATTTACATACAAAGAAATCTTAAGGAAGCATACTTCTTAAAAGAACCATGCAAGGTTCCTTTGAAAATAGGAAATGGGAAAAAAGTTCTTTCAACAAGTTTTAACCATAAACTTGAGGCATTTCACCACCAAAATGATCTTTCAAGACAGGGCTCATAGTTGTAAAGACTTTGACCCTCCATTTCATAAAAATATTTTCATTAAGTTAAATGTGAGTGAAAATATTGTGAATGTTAGTTTGAGTATAAAAAGTTGAATTTGCTTGGCAGGGAAGAAAAACCTGTTAGAACAGTTGCATTTAAGATGGATGATCTGACAACTTCCGGTAACTAAGGCACAATTATGAAATAAGTTCCTTTGAATATTCCCTATCTAATGCAATGAATTCCTGTTCGTTTTTTATAATCTGACAAAAATTTTTTTCAATCCTTGGAAATTGCCTTTTTATTGCCACATACGGTTTTGACAAAGAAACGGAACTACATCCATTGTAATTGTTTAGGATGTTTCCAGTGTAAACCACATTATGTTCTCTAGAAATACATTTTGTCCACCCGATGAGATTACCAAGTCGTAAAAATTCTTGTTTATTTCCATGCTATAGAGAATTTCATTCGCTTAAAAAAAAATAATTTACGCCTTTCCCATGGAATGCCTGTTAAAAATATACCACGAGTATCTGGTACAAATGAAGCCCGTGCGTGGAAGACACGATTACTGAACGACCCCGGGAGACAGCCACCAGCATCGCCTTCGTTTCCGTCGTCCTGGTCTCCAGCCCACGTCTCCTCGGCCGGGAAGGCTCCGCCGTGCCCAGACCCTCCCCCACAGACCCACCATTGTACTTCTGGCACACAGGGAAAATTATGAATGGCTCCCAGGGCCAGAGCCTGGCAGAAAAGCTGCAGCAAGAGGCAGTTTTGCAAGTGTATGATCACCTAGAGGTATCGCGGAGCGGTCTTCCTGCTTGACGGAATCAAGTTTTGACAACAAGAATTATTTAAACAAAAGTACCTATGCCCCCGCCTCGGGAAACTACAGGAAGAGGCAGTTTCCCTTTAAGTGCTGACTTTTCCCACTCCAGCCTCTCCAGCTTCCTCGGCCCCCCAACGGGCCC